GGTGAGGAGAACCCAGAGGCAGCAGCGGAGGAGGACTACGGAGAGACTATGTGGGGCGCTATTGCGAGCGCGGCATTCTCCAATCCAACTTCGGCTACGGGGGAGTGTGATTGGCTCACCTTGCATCGGCGCATGGGGCATGTGGCCCTGCCCATCTTGCAGCAGCTAGTGAAGAATGAGATGGTTGCTGGCATACGTGTGAAGGGGGAGCCCGATGAGGTGCTTGGCTGCCCGACGTGCATTCAAGCCAAGTTCACCCGGTTTCCGTTCCCTAGTTCGGAGGCAACGGCAAAGGCACCGCTTGATGAGGTGGTGATGGACGTGGTGGGCCCCCTGAAGCTTGGAGCTGCTGGAGCTGAGTATTTTCTCACCATTGTCGACGTCTACACCCGCATGACTTGGGTGTACGTGCTGGCCAAGAAGAGCGACGTGGCTGAAACGTTGAAGACGGATTGGTTTCCGATGGTGGAGCGGCAACAAGACCGTCTAGTCAAGTCAATCCGCACCGATCGAGGGGGAGAGTTACTGAGCAAGGAGTTTGGGTTGTGGCTGAAGAAGAATGGTATTCGGCACTCCCTCACCATGCCATACTCCCCTGCAATGAACGGCATCGCCGAGCGAGCGAACCGCACAATCACGGAGGCGGCACGCGGGTTGCTCATTGAAGCCGGGCTACCCGACTATTTCTGGCCTGATGCGGTGCGGAGCGCGTGTGTGGCCAAGAACAGAGCATTGACTCATGTGGAAGCAGACAAATGGGTGCCCTATGTGGAGTGGCTAGGAAGGAAGCCAAAGGTGGATATGCTTCGGGTGTTCGGGTGCATGTGCATGGCGCTCGTGCCTAAGCATCTTCGGCACAACAAGCTTGGTGCCAAGGCGGTGTGGGCCGTGCACTTGGGCATGGCTCAAAACAGCAAGGGATGGCTTCTTTGGGACCCATTCACCAAGAAGTTCTTGGTGAGCAGGGACTGCAAGTTCATGGAGAACTTCATGTACAAGGATTGGAAGGCGGAGAATGAGGCGAAGATAGGCGTGCGGTTTGGGGAGGTGAAGAGTTCCGGTTTGGAGCATGTGGAGCTGCCTTTGGAGCTGAGCAGCGGCAGCACAACCACAAGGCAATCCTCCCTTGTGAATGGGGGAGAGGAGGACAATGATGCAGAGGAAGAAGAGGAGGAGGTGCAGCAAGTGAGCGAGCGTGCACCGTCACTCCCTTCCCGTACTACGAGTGCTCCACGGATTCGAGCCACACCGCAGCAACGCCAAGGCCTTCAAGTCCATGCAGCTGAGGAGGAAGGAAGGGGGAAGAGGAGAGTTCAACCCCCTAATAGGCTGACCTATGATGCGCCGGGAAAGCAGGGCAAGACAGCCCTGGCCGGAGCGGCAATGATGGTCGGAGACGACGAGGAGAGTGACTACGAGGAGTGTGCCTTCGCGTTCTTCTCTCCGGTGGAGATGCCGGGAGAACCAGCAACTCTCAAGGAGGCTTTGGAGAGTAGTGATGCTGAGGAGTGGAAGAAGGCCATGGAGAGTGAGCTGAAGAGCATCGAGGAGAATGACACGTTTGAATTGGTGGAGCTACCGGAGGGGCGTACGGCGATAACGTCCAAGTGGCTCTTCAAAATCAAGTCGGATGCCGACGGCAAGATCGAGCGCTACAAGTCTAGGCTTATAGCCAAGGGGTACCAGCAGAAGGAGAAGGTGGACTTCAAGGAGCTGTTTGCCCCTGTGGTGAAGCCGACGACGCTGCGAACCCTATTCGCAGGAGCCGCCATCAAAGGATGGGTAGTAAAGCAAATGGACATCGTAACGGCATTCCTTAACGGCATCCTTGAGGAGGAGATTTTTATGGCGCAGCCAGAGGGGTTTGATGATGGTAGTGGCAGAGTGTGGAAGCTGAAGAAGGCCCTCTATGGGCTGAAGCAGGCCCCTAGGCAATGGTACATGAAGCTGCGCGAAGTGTTGGAGGGGATCGGCTTCACTCCCTCAACGGCCGATCACTCCTTGTTCATGCTTGGCGAGGGGGAGCAGAGGAGTTTCATGGTGGTTTATGTGGATGAAATCCTCATTTTCTCACCCTCTTCTGACCCTGTGAAGGAGGTGATGCTGAAGCTTCAAGACAAGTTCAAGTGCAAGGCCCTTGGTGACGTGAGCTTCTACCTTGGGCTCCACATCGAACGAGATGTGGAGAAGCGGTGCATGCGGGTGCATCAACGAAAGTACCTGGAGGCATTGGCTGCCAACTTTGGGCAGAGTGAAGGCCATGTGGCTACACCCTTTCCCTCTGGGTTCAAGTGTGTGAAGGGACCAGAGGAGGAGAGCGTTGGTGAAGAGGAGAGGCGCCGATTTCACTCGTTGGTGGGCAGCCTCATGTATGCGGCGGTAAACACCCGACCGGACGTCGCGTTTGCTACCGGGCAGCTGGCTAGGGTTGTGCAATGCCCTAATGAGGAGCAAGTAGCAGCTGGAATGAGGGTGGCCAAGTATCTTGGCCAAACACCGACCGTTGGGCTGCAATACTCGGCGGCGGCACAAAGGCGACAAAAAGGGCGCGGATGGTGTTGAACCCGGGCGTTTGTTCCTCACCGCCTACTCGGATGCTTCATATGCATCAGAACCAGAGGACATGACAAGTGTGGGAGGCTTCATATGCTGTGTTGGTGGAGGCCCAACTGCTTGGGAGAGCAAGAAGCAGGTTGACCAAGCTTTGAGCTCGGTGGAGTCCGAGTACATGGCACTCTTCCGTGCCGTACGGGAGATTGTGTGGCAGCGGCGTTTGTTGGCTGAATTGGGGGAGGAGCAGCAAGGACCTACCCCACTCTACTGTGACAGCCAGGGTGCCATTGCTCTTGCTAAGAACCCTGTGTTGCATGGACTCACGAAGCACATGAGGGTGAAGTGGCATTGGACGAGGAGCATGGTAACCGCGGGTGAAGTTGAGTTGCGCTACGTGAAGACCACGGGGCAGCCGGCTGACATGATGACCAAGAGGCTGGTGGAGCAGCAGCATTGGAAGTGTTGCAAGCTGGCTGGGATGGCTCTGAACTGAGAGAGCAACATATCCTAAGGCCAACAATCCGAGGGGGAGTTTGTTGGTGCAACCCTACGGTTTGCACTCGGCTTGTTGTCCGTGTGCGTGAATGTGTGTGTGTATGGAATGGTATGAAGGCATGGGATAATATATATTTCATGCTTATAATTGTGTGTGAATGTTGAGTCATGATGTCGAGTGTGTGTGTCGAGTCAATAGCGAGTTATCGCTAGACGCGTGTTACGCGGTCGTTTGTGTCTCGCGCGCGGTTTCTATTTTGTCGTGCGCGGTTTCTATTTTGTCCTGTGTCGAACGTTCGGCGTGTCGCAGGTGTGTGCAGCAGACCCATCAAGAACTCAAGGATGAGTTTGTGATGAAGAGCCCGAGCCTTGGTGTCAAGCCTCAAGTGATTTCGAAGCTCGCCAAAAAGGGTACACCTCAAGATATTGAAGATAGTTACATTACTTTGTGTAGTGTAACATTTCACTTGGTGTAGGCCCTAGTGAAGGGTAGTTTCGAGACCCTTCGTGGTTGGGGACAGTGTGGCACTGTTACACATCACTGTACCTCGACTCTTGGGGTTTGTAGGAGCTGGGAGTCATTCCCAACTCGTAACTCTTCCTATCTTGTGTTCTAAGACTATAGTGGCTGCCATAGTACCGTTCGTTCAAACCGACGCTGTGTCGTCAATTCTTTATCAAATCGTGCAATCTAAATTTCTAATTGTAGACGACGTGAAGACGCTCCAGATCCAATTTGAATCAAGTCATTTGCAGCTGTGAGCAGAACGCTATCAACGTTTGAAGCCGCTGTGCAGAAATCCGTCTGTGCTCTCTATCTTTCGTTTTAGGCACATTCAAGCCTATTGTGACTATAACATGTCTCTCTTGCGTTTCTTGGCAGTGTGGTTGGCAAGAGACGCCAACAGCGCCGTCTCTAGCCTCGCAAGCGTTGCAGCCGTGTCTTTCTGGGTTTGGCGCATAGCGTCAAACTCTTCCCTCGTAATAGGGGCCGAGTCGGAGCGTTCCTCATTAGTCTCCTCCACGTCGTCGTCAGCAGCAGCATTGACACGCGGAAGAGCTTCGTTCGGGTTGTCATCCGACGACTCAGGCTCGGGCGGAGGCACGTCGGGTTGTTCCTCCGTGTCAGGCAGGTCCGATACTTTGCGACGCTTTTTGGGCCTCGCCGAACGCCCATCCGCTACAGAAGAGGAAGGGCCTGCCTTCCGCCTATTGGTCGCCGTTCCACGCGACGAGGAGCTCTCGCCCTCACGTGCATCGGAAGGATTGGACTCTGGGGAGGACGCTGCACATACATATTGGACGGCACGTTAATAGAAGACGGCCCGAAGTTCTGAATCGTGTATTCCTATAAAAACAAATAGTACAAGACAACGCATACCGAGGAACAAAATTTCCACACAACATACACCGATCAGAAGTGACGCTTGTCGGTGCACGGACAACCACCTTCTTATCCCTCGCGCCAGTTGCCCTTGGCATAGGCGGCCGCCTGGAAGTCCCTGGCACCACATAATGCGTGAGGTGCATCTTGGCATTGGCTACTGGACGGTTGTTGTCCAGTATGACGAGGTTTGTACCCTTTGTGCACGGAGAGCCAGAGCTAACTGTCTGTGTCCAGAGTTTTGTGGACAATGACGTGGCGGATGAGTTTCCGGACGGAAATCTGCCAGCCAATCGGCCCTCGCGACCAAGCCACATCCTGTTATCGCCTGCGTGTGTGCACATTCGTGTCCAAACCACGACCTCACAAACGCCCAAACTTACATCGCGTACATACACCCTATTGGAACATAATGGGAGACACACAGATAGGTGTAATTCTAGGATTCACCATAAAAGTAATCCACTTGCATTTGTTTATACACAATATGTCATGCAAGTTAAACCTCATGCATCGCCCCAAGTCCAACACCACAACACATGCAACATCCACACCAATGCATCACCCCTCAGGGCGTGCGCATGTCTACCGCTTCACCATCCGACCCTTCCCCAGGGGAAACTTCTACGCTCTCCCCCTCCGCATCTCCCGCTTCCCCTGGTGCATCAACACTGGTGTCGTGGCGGGGAGTCTGTGGGATCCCCTTGCCATTCTTCTCCAGCTCGAATGGGGTTCCTGGCTTCACCCCTATGTCATCCATTGCCTTCCTCCATTCCCTCCACGGATACCACTGCCGCTTATGCACGAGGTGACGTACATCATCCTCAATACACCCCTCCAGAGCTGCCATCTCACCCACGGACTGTTCCATGACCTTGGATAAAGTGTTCTTCCTCTGTATCATGAATGCTCATGCGGCGTATGCGTATGCCGCATCCTCCTCCCTCTGGTACGCGCCAAGACGAACCTGGCGGCATGTACTCGGATCTGTCGTTGACTTTGTGCACCACTTCCGGCCACGTGTGTCGAACCAGACTCCCGTGTACTCGCTCGTGCCTCCTCTCTTCTTCTCCCCGGTGCCAGGACATGCCTTTGCTTTCGCCGCTGCAGCTCGTGGCTTCCGCATCCCTCCGACTCGACCCTTCTCTGGTGTGGCATCAGGGGTGTCCGGACTCTGCGTCTCCGTGCTTTCTTTGCGCGCCTTGAGGTGTGCGCCAGTCTCCTCCTGGTGTTGGCGGGCCCATATCGCGGGTGCAGGAGGTAGCGGCTCTGGCGACTCATGCAGCATGTCTGCCAGTGTCTCCTGTGCGGCCTGACGCTCCGCATAGTTCTCAGCCGTGGGTGACCGTATGAGTAGAGGCGTCCCACATGTGCTCAGCTCATGAGCACATGCGGCCCGGAGCTCATGTACGTTGTACCCCAGTGCCTTTGCGATGCTCATGACCACTGAGGCCATCACGAACCCGTCCAGCTCCATGTAGGTTCGCTCACGAGAGAGCCGTGCCAGTTCCAGGCGCACGTCCTCCTCTTTGGGGAACATCAGCACGTCCTCCTCTCCGACGACTGTAATCGGCTGAAGGGGCACCACAATCTCCTCCATGTATAGTTGCACAAACAGCTCTCCAGCGGCGAGACTGCATACATCGGCGCGCATGCCGCGTCCGAAGTCCTTTGTAGTGACACCGTCGCATGACACCCACTTCCAAACCGTGGTGAAATCCGACCTCACAGAGCTTTCATGTGTCAGAATATGTTCTTTGTCTAGCCTGGAGTGGGGTACTCAATAGTGAGTACAACCCTTTAGGGTTTCCTATTTGTACCAACCTGCCTGCTAGTGCAACCATCCCATTTCTGTTTCTATCATTCTCGATCTTGCTTGGCACAACCTTCTAGTCTCACTGTGGCCTAGGCTACTAAGCCTAGGCCCTACTCCTAGTGTTTCTGATATGGTATCTAGAGCGAGCACGTTCCTGCCGCTTCCCTTAACGAGCCCACCAACTGCTTCCGCTGTCGTTCTGTCTGTCGCGCGCCCCGTGGTGCGTGATGTGTTATTTTCTTTCCGCCACGCGCTCGGAGCGCGTGGCGGCTTTTTCTGCCCGCCGCGCGCTTAGGGCGCGTGGCGGTTTCACCGTCCGTCGAGGCGCCTTCAGGGGGCCCGTGCGCTGCCCCCTGTCGCCCGTCGTGGCGCCCTTAGGGGGCATGCGCGCGGCCCCCCATCGCCCGTCGAGGCGTCTTCAGGGGGCCCGCCCGCTGCCCCCCCCCCCCCCCCCCCCCCTCCCCTCGTCGCCCGTCGCGGTGCCTTCAGGGGGCCCGCGCGCTGCCCCCGTCGCTCGTCGCGGCGCCCTCAGGGGGCATGCGCACGCCCCCCCCCCCCCTGTCGCCTGTTGTGGCGCCTTCAGGGGGCCCGCGCGCTGCCCTCGTCGCTTGTCGCGGCGCCCTCAGGGGGCACGCGCGCGCCCCCCCCCCCCCCTCCCCCCCCCCCCCCCGTCGCCCGTCGTGGCGCCCTCGGGGAGCCTGCGCGCTGCACTCCCGTCATCGACCCTGCAGCCGCCCCTGGCCCCTGGAGCAGCCGCCCCTGCAGCAGCTGCCCCTGGCCCCTGGAGCAGCCGCCACTGCAGCAGCCGCCCCTGGCCCCTGGAGCAGCCGCCCCTGCAGCAGCCGCCCCTGGCCCCTGGAGCAGCCGCCACTGCAGCAGCCGCCCCTGGACCCTGGAGCATCCGCCCCTGCAGCAGCCGCCCTTGGCCCCTGGAGCAGCCGCCACTGCAGCAGCCGTCCCTGGCCCCTGGAGCAGCGGCCCCTGGAGCAGCCGCCCCTGCAGCAGCCGCCCCTGGCCCTTGGAGCAGCCGCCACTGCAGCAGCCGCCCCTGGCCCCTGGAGCAGCCGCCCCTGGCCCCTGGAGCAGCCGCCACTGCAGCAGCCGCCCCTGGCCCCTGGAGCAGCCGCCCCTGCAGCAGCCGCCCCCGGCCCCTGCAGCAGCCGCCCGTGGCCCCTGCAGCAGCCGCCCCTGCAGCAGCCGCCCCTGGACCCTGGAGCAGCCGCCACTGCAGCAGCCGTCCCTGGCCCCTGGAGCAGCGGCCCCTGGAGCAGCCGCCCCTGGCCCCTGGAGCAGCTGCCCCTGCAGCAGCCGACCCTGCAGCTGCCCGCGACGCCGCTCCTGGACCCTGTGCAGCCACCCTGTCTCACCCGCGCCCTCGTGCGCTCTGCTCTGCCCGCGCCCTCGTGCGCTCTGTCCCACCCGCGCCCTCGTGCGCTCTGCTCTGCCCGCGCCCTCGTGCGCTCTGCTGCTGCCCGAGCTCTCGTGCGCTCTGCTCTACCCATGCCCTCGCGCGCTCTGTCCTGCTCTACCCCCCCCCCCCCCCCCTAGTCCCCTGGACAGGAGGGTGTGGGGGTGGCGGGTGTGGGGGTGATACGTGTGCGTCGTCCCTTCCTTCTCCTCCTCCGTCTCCCACTGCTGCAGCTGCCGCTGAGGGGGGTGGATGTGTGGGAGCCGAGGGGAGTGGCGCTAGGGGGGTGCCGTGGTAGTGGAGCTAGGGGTGCAGTAGTGGGTGTGTGAGAGGGGTGTGGGACAGTTGGGGGAGGTTGAGCGGAGGCTGCCGTCTTGTCGTCCGCAGCACCTGTAGTCCGGGGCTCTGCCGCTGGTAGCCCAGAGAGCGTGCTGCGCCTGTTGCCCGTGGGTCCGTTGCTCCTGCCGCTCAGAGTTAGCCGCGGAGCCAGTTACTCCAGTAGTCCGGGGCGTTGTCCCGGTAGCCACTGTGCCAGCCGCTCCTGTCGCCCGTGTGTCTGCAGCTTCAGCCGTTGCCTCCTATCTCCTCTCCTCTCACAGTCCCTCCTCCTCCTCACTTGCCCTCTGTGACTGCCTCTAGCTCTGGTTGTGCTTGTGACTTATTCTATGGCTTCTTGCTGTGCTGATTATACCCCACTTTGACTATGGGGGTGTGTCAGAATATGTTCTTTGTCTAGCCTGCAGGTACTCAATAGTGAGTACAACCATTTAGGGTTTCCTATTTGTACCAACCTGCCTGCTAGTGCAACCATCCCATTTCTGTTTCTATCATTCTCGATCCTGCTTGGCACAACCTTCTAGTCTCACTGTGGCCTAGGCTACTAAGCCTAGGCCCTACTCCTAGTGTTTCTGATATCATGTACATGCACACAAAAACTCCACAGTCCTTGTCGTTCGTCTGCTGTGGAATCACTTCTTTCCGCCAGGATGACAAAGTGCGTAAGGGGCGTTAGAACACTCTCAGTGAAAACACCACAAACCAACACAACGCGTCGCCAGAACACCACGGTCATACGACGTCAACAATCCTCACCGGTATGACTACGTGCTCTGCTTCTCGCACTTTCTCTGCAGCCTTGTCAGGGTTGTCGGTGGGCAGCTGCGACTCGTGGATCATCAGCAGTGTCCTGTGTCAAGCACACGCAATTGTGAGGCGTGTTTGCAGCACACAACTGCGGGCAGCAGGACGAGCAAAAGCACACACTACTTACTTTCTCACACCCGCGATGACAGAAGGGTCCTTGGCGTGCATGCTCCAGCTGTCGTAGTGCACAAGCTTGACACCTTCCGTTACCCTCTCGCCACGTTTCCCGGACAACATGGTCGCAAGGTTAAGAGCTATGACCTGTGAGAAGTGACTCCTGCCCAGGCAGCAGATGGCAGGCCAAGTCATTCAGAACCGACTTGTTATCGCAGGATTTAGGTCAAGGCTATACTTGCATCCACAGAATACACCCACCTTGCAATTGTTGGAATGGCCACGTAATCCACATCGAAAATACATGGAGACCGTCCCATCGGCCAGGTCTTGTCCAGTTGCATTGCGTAAACGAAAGATTTTGTGTCGAGCGGGAACCACGTCTTTCCGTCTTTCAGCTTAGGATGTCGGATGTTGAGCAGTCTGCATGGAGGGCCACAACACACAACGTCTGAGTTAAATAACAGCGTGCGATGCTACTGCGACATCCTTACAATGGCATGTCATCTCTTACATGTTGTGGAAATCGACTATGGTGTCGGCAAGATACTTCCCGTCGGCGGTAGAAAGAGCATCTTTAGCGGTGATCTGACATCCAACCCCGTGAGGCCCGAAGAGGGTGAGAGTTTTGAAATCATGACGCACAGCCGGATCTCGCAGCCTCTTGATCAGATCGCCTGGATGGTCTTCTACGGACGACCCACTGCCCCCGACGTTCCTCCCCGATGCAGACGACCTAGTTTCGCGATTAACACCCCCGCCTTTTTGCTCGTCTGCATCATGCTCCGACGTGTCAGTTCCAGGTGGGCGAGTAAGCATACGCGCGAAAAAGGCCTTTCACGTGAGGACCACGTGGCGGAGACTCTTCCTTAACGTCGCGCTTAAAACCCCGTCCACAAACTCTCATACTGGTGGACGCAACCGATGAGACAGATATGATATTGCCAGAACTGTGCTTGTCTGGACAGGCCTTTGCCTAAGCTTCTTGTATAGCTGCTCGGTCCGTTATACGGACACATTTGGCCAGTGCGTAGTAATAGGTGGGAGCGGAGGGAGATGGAAAGCCAAGCGGACGGAATTCGGACACGCAGCGACATGCCATCACGTTACCACGTGTCCACTGCTGGTGAATGCGCGCCAAAATAGAGGGTTCTGGATCCGAGGTTGACATGTTGGTTTCGTAGTTTACATTGATGGGTAAGTTTGATCCGTAGCAATATCTCTCTGTATATTAGGAGCGAACACTAGTACAGCGCGGGCATTTCAAATCACAACAACTCCGCCGCAAATCAAGATAGGCCAATCAACACTTTCGTTAAGGCCGAGATGTACGTTGTCACAACAGTTATGATAGGACATGCAAGCCGGAGTGTTTGGAACCATGCACACGGCTGACGTACTTTCTATAGCGTGTTTCGACAATAACATACAATTTATAATTTGACTATGATCATCACAACACCAAGCCCAACATACAATCGACATGGTCACCAGCGGTAACCGTGCAGTAATTGTACCATTTCCACACACTAATAGCTGCTACCGCTAACGGAGGAAACCAGAGGTGAGCTAAAGCACAGGAGGCCGTCGGTGTCGCCGCTAGAGCTGTCACTGCATATGGAACTCCCATGTATCGTGGTGGCACGGCACATGCGCTTAGTGGGAGTCCGACGAAGACGCTTAACCACTTCGTCGTTTTCGACCCCAACCCGTTCAGGGACGTCGCGCGGACTTATGCCCATTTCCGCCGCGGTGCGGACATACGCCTGAGTCACGGCGAGCACCACGTGCCGTCGGCTCCTAGGGTCTCGAGCAATAGTGCCTTCTGGCATGGGAACCAGTACGGATGATCCTCGCGCGATAGACGCCTCAACGGGTGACGGACGTCCACCTGACGACAGAAGGCGCCCGTCACACGTGGCATATTCCGTAGCGGCCATGAAGCCAGGCACACCTTTGGCAAACGGGTCGATTAGGACCTGTAGCTGAACCAACTGCTTGATGAGGGGCTCGCGAGTCACGGCCGTAGGTGGGTATTCTGTTAGGTGGAGGAGCTCGCGCGACGCCAGGGGCATAACGCCAGACCGGGCCCACGTGGAATGCACCGCCCAAGCCGGTGTCTGACGCCACGAACTTCCCACCCAGACCAGCAGGTTGTCGTACAGAATAAAAG